GGCGTTGGAATCCCGAGAAAATGTTTTGGCATGCTTCAGGGTCTTCAATCCGTTGTCTTCCAACGAGGCAGCTTCCTCTATGGAAATGAACCGTTGTAGGAGAGGAAGCTTGGAGGGAGGGTTTATTCCAACATCGCTGCTGACTCTTGGGTCTACACTAGTCCTCATCTTCTTCCTCCTCCTCCTCCTCTTCCTCCTCCTCCTCTTCTTCATCCTCCTCCACTTCCTCCACTTACTCCTCCTCCTCCTCCTCCTCCTCCTCCTCCTCCTCCTCCTCCTCCTCCTCCTCCTCCTCCTCCACGGCAGTATCACCCTCCTGCTGGCCTAGCCCGTCGTCGTCGCATATATCTCCTCCTCCTGCTCCTCCTCCTCATCCTCCTCCTCCGCCTCCTCCCTCCTCCTCCTCGTCCTCCTCCTCCTCCTCCTCATCATCATCATCAGCAGCATCACCATCAGCATCAGCATCAGCATCGCCGTCGTCATCGTCATCGTCAGCATCAGCATCATCATCAGCAGCATCGTCAGCAGCATCATCATGTTCATCAGCATCACCATCATCATCATCATCATCCTCTTCCTCCTCCTCCTCATCATCATCATCGTCGTCGTCGTCGACGTCGACGTCGTCATCATCATCATCATCATCAGCATCCGCATCAGCAGCAGCAGCCTCAACGTCAGCATCATCATAATCAGCATCATCATAATCAGCAGCATCAACATCAGCAGCAGCAGCATCAGCCACATCATCATCATCATCATCATCATCATCATCACCATCATCATCATGAGTATCATCATCAGTATCATCTTCATCGTCAGCGGCATCATCATCAAAATCAGCATCATCATCATGAACATCATCCTCATCATCATCATCCTCATCATCCTCATCATCCTCATCCTCCTCATCCTCATCATCCTCATCATACTCATCACCATCATCAGCATCATCATCAACATCAGCATCATCACCATCGTCAGCGTCATCAGCATCATCATCATCATCATCATCAACAACAACAACAACAACAACAACAACAACAACAACAACAACAACAACAACAACAACAACAACAACAACAGCATCATCCTCATCTTCATTATCGCCGTCGCGTTTCTCCTCCTCCTCCTCCTACTCATCCTCATCATCACGATCCGATGCCGCCTCCTGACCACGCACGACAAGGGCCAGCACATGACCACCCAAGAGGATCTGGAGAGGTGACACAAGATTGCCATCATTAACATCGACCTGGAATTGGTGATACCATCGTAAACACCTTGACCTTACTGCATATGCCTGCTTTGCAGGCTCGGGAAGTGGAGAGATTTACCAAGATGGCAGGAGCCAGCACGAAATCGCCACTCGAGATTCAAGTCCGTGTGTGCATCCCCAGTCCCAGGATGCCTGTGAAGGTCGCGGGGGCCTTTCAGCTTCACACCTTGTTGCAGATGCGTGAAGGCGGTCGCCCCGACGCGGTCGGCGCAGAAACGTCCACCAGACGGCACGGAACGGCGCAGACGTAGCGAAAAAGTCAATGAGCACGATTGGCTCCACCTCTCAGAAAATCCCAGGTGCTCTTCTGGCCGATGTGAAGTTTCAGACTCCCTCTCATCCTCCTTCCTTCCTTCCTGCCCCAGGCCTCTGCGGTTTGCCGCATGTGTCAAAGCCTCTTGGCCAACGCGAGGCGGATCGAACTGGAAAATTCGGAAAATCGGGTCGCATCAGAACATGCGTCGGATCGGTCTGCAACGGCACGGAGTCGACATCGAATCGTGTCGGCCGCGCCAGGATGCACAGCGCCCAAATTCAAGCGTCGGGCCGCATCGCATGGTCGGAATGTCATGTCGGAATCGAATATGATCGGGCCGGCCGAAATCGATATTAGAGGAACATACACGGCGTAAACAAGTTTTTTCGACGGTCCGCGCGGATTTCTCGGATCTGCGCTGGACCCCCTGGCGGCGCCCCTGGCGCCGCCCCAGGCGTGCTCCACGCGCCAGGGAGCGGGATCCAGCGCAAATCCAAGAAATTCGCACGGACCGTCGAAAATTTATGCGTATGCCGTTTGTCTTCGAGATATGGAGCCGATCGATCGGATCAAAAGGGACCCTGGATCTCCACCCTGCGCGAGCCAGTTCAGCGCAGAGGGGACCACGCACCGGAGCATGTGGGTCTGAGACCTTGCGGTTCTCAGGAAGAAACGGCCCTCGGCTCTTCGCGAAGACAGGCTCGGCTACGACGGCAACAGTCTCAAAAACCAGGCGTGGCCGGGTGCGAGCGGCAGCGTGGAGGAGGGAGGTCCCCCAGACTGCGGCTGGGCTGGAAGGTCGAGCACGCGGACAGAGCAAGGCGTCCACACGGGAGCGCCGCCTATGTGCACATGCAATCCGACAAGACGAGTCTGAGCAAGAAATAAGGCGGACAGCTGCGGACGGCAGATGCCTGGCACGCGGACACCACTGCTGGTGTCGTGTTGACGGCGATGGTCACTCTCCCTCAACCTGCTCTCCTAGAGGGGGAAAACAAAAAAAAAAAAAAAAAAATGCATAAACATAACCCCCCTCCCTGGCGCGAGGAGAGCGCCAGGCTCGGCGCCGGAGGCGCCGCCGGGGGGGTCCCGGCGCGGATCCAGCAGATTCGTGCGGAGCGCCGAAAGTTCATTTGTATACCGTGTGGTTTTCTTTGACCCCAGGCTGCCCTTCCCCTCTTGAAGATGGCGTCGTACAGGTCGGGTCCCACCCGCGCCAGCGCCGCCTCCTCACTGTTCTTGGGATCCCCGCCTGGCGGACGCGACAGCGCAGCGCAGCACTCACCCCATCGTCCTCCTCCTCCTACTCCTCCTCCTCCTCCTCCGCCGCCGCCGCCGCCGCCGCCGCCGTCCTTCTCAAAGATGATATCATCTTCCTCCGATTCCCTCCTCTAAATCACCTCCTCTCCTCCCCCTCCTCACCGTATGTACTTCTCCTCCTGCTCCGTTCACTGATTATTGTCCTCCTCCTCCTCCTCCTCCTCCTCCTCCTCCTCCTCCTCCTCCTCCTCCTCCTCCTCCTCATCCTCCTCACCCTCGCCGTGATCACCTCGCAGGGCAGGGGAGGGAGTGAGAATGCAGGTTCGCCTGCGGCGCGTGCGTGTGTCCCCTCCACACAGGGCGGGGAGGTATCCAAACAGTGGGCCTCGACATGCGGCGGATATGAATATGTTTGCCCCCCTGGCCCGAATAGCTATCTATACATATATATATATATATAATATATACATATAGAGAGATATAGTGATATATATATATATATATATATATATATAATATATATATATATATATAATAATATATATATATATATCCGTACTAAAATCGCGCTCGCTTCGCGCGCGCGCTCAGGTTCTAGCTCAGGCAGGGGGGGCGCTGGAAGATCTTGGACAGCGCTATCAACCACAGGCGCGTGACACAGTCGTGCCTCCTGAGGGCCTCTTGGGAACCTCTTGGGTCCTCGTGGGGGCACCTGAAGGGCTTTTGGGGGGTTCTCCGTGCTTCCTCAATTGGCTGTTGGAGGCACCTCTTGGGTGCTTGTTGGGGGGGCGTCTTGGGGCTTCTTGTGGTCCCTTGGGGGGCATCGTCGGGTTTCTCTGGGCAATCGGAAGGTGATGCTCAGCAATCTGAAACCGTCATTGGCCGTCTTGGCTGCGCGGAGGCCCGACTTGAAGCCACCTGGGGCTACATTGAGGCAAGCTGGAAGCCTCCCGGGGGCCTCCTGGAGGCAGTTTTGATGCATCGAGGGCACTGTTCGGCTATCTTGGGGCCACTTGTCCGTCTCCCCTTTGGGGGCCTCTTGAAAAGCTTTGGGGGCCTCATCGGACCACTTGGGGACTCTTGGGGCCTCCTGTGGGCCTCTTAGGGCGGAAGGCTCTGCTGTTGGGTTCGCGTTCCCCTTCTTGGGCCTCTCTTGGGGCCGTCTTGGGGCTCTCTCGAGCTGTCTTGGGCGTCTCAGGCACCGTCTTGGGGCCCTCGTGGGCCGTCTTGGGGCCCTCCTGGAGGCCTATTCGGCTATCTCGGAGCGGTCTTGGGGACCTCTTGGGCCGTCTTGGAGCGTCGGGATGCCAAAAGGCTGACAACTCCAACATCCATCGAAGAACCGTTGGGAAAACAATGAGTTGTGCCTCGTCGGCTCTTCTTGGGAGGCCTCTTGGAACCTCTTCCGCCCTCTGGGGATCTTCTTGAGGGCCTCTTGGATCCTATTAGGGGCCTCTTGGGGCTTCCTGAAAGCCTCGCGTGGTGGAAGGCTCAGATTTTCGGTTCGTCTTACCCCTCTTGGGCCCCTCTTGGGGCCCTCTTGGGCGCCTCAGGCACCCTCTTGGGGCCCTCGTGGGCCGTCTTGGGGCCCTCTTGGAGGCCTCTTCGGCTATCTTGGAGCGGTCTTGGAGGCCTTTTGGGCAGTCTTGAAGCGTCAGGACGCCCAAGGCTGAAACCTCGAAAATCGATCAAAAACCTACGGCAAGACGATAATGTTTGCCTCGTGGGGCCTTCGTGAGGGGTCTCTTGGAACCTCTTCGGCCCCCTGGTGCGCTTCTTGGGGCCTCTTAGGGCCTGCTGGGGGCTTCTCGGGGCCTCCTGAGAGCCTCTCGGGGTGGAAGGCTCGCATTTTCGTTTCGTTGCCCCTCTTGGCTTCCTCTTGGGGCCGTCTTGGGGTCCTCTCGGGCCGTCTTGGGCGCCTCTGGCGCCGTCTTGGGGCACTCTTGGGCTGTCTTGTGGCCGTCTTCGAGGCCTCTGGGGCTCTGAGGCCGTGTCGGGGCGGAATTTGGGACCTCTGGGACCGTCTTGGAGCGTCGGGAAGCCGAAAAGGCAGAAACGCGAAAGCCTATCAAACACCTAAGGGAAATCAAGTATTCTTGCCTCGTGGGGCCGTTTTGGGAGCGCTCTTGGAGACCCCTTGGGCCGTGTTGGAAGCGTTTTGGGCCGTCTGGAGGTCATCTTGGGCCTGTTAGAACTATTTCGGCGGCGCTGGGCCCTCTTGGAGGCCTCTTGGGGCCCGTTTCATGTGTTTTGGGGCTGTATTGGGCTGTCTTGGGGCCGTCTTGAGGGGGTCGCGGGACGTCTTTGGCCTCCCTGAAGCGCTTCGGGCGCAGTCGTAGACGCAGTGGAGACCTCAAGCGCGTGGTTGTTGAAACTGTGCTTTCCGAATAGAAGTGCCCACTTTGGGCCTCCCAACGTCTTCTGGGGCAGCGTTTGGGGACGTTCCGGAGCCATAGAGGGAGCCTTCAAGTCCTAGGTTCTGCATGCCCAGAGAACCCCGACTCGCCCCCGAGTCGCCGGAAAATCACACCAAACGCCCGTAATCGCCTCCAGATTGCCCACCGCGCTCTCAAGGCGTTCCACGCAGGCTTCCCGACGGCCCAGATAGTCCCCCAGACGCTCCAAGAGGGTTGCACGACGCACCCCAAAAGGGGCGATGCTGCGATGCTGCCTGCCGCGGAGCTCCTCTCTTCTTGTGTATGACAGAACATGCCAGGGATGCAACGGCCAGCGCTGTACATGAGCTGCTACCTTGCGCTGCAGTCCGCTGGAAATTGCTGCGTGAAAGATGCTGCTGCCCTGAGCGGCAAAGCCAAATAGCTACTCGAGCAGTAAGAATATCACACGGTACTTGAGTGATCAACCCTGGAGTACTGTCCTGAACGGTTGTTTGGTTTCCCGTTGGTTCTTGGTTGTTCCTGTTGTATTCAATTTTTCCAGCATGCTGACGTCTCCACAGCAGCCCCAGAAGAGCGAAAGCTCGCCCCAAGCCGTTTCCGAGGCCCCCTCCAGGGCTCCACTCTGCCCAAGAGGCCCCAACGACGCCACAGGAGACTTGCAGGGCAGCCCCGAAAAGGCACCGAATCGCCAAAACATCACCGCCAGACGCTCATCAAGACCTCCAGGTGGCCCCATCACTGACGACGACGACGACGACGACGACGACGACGACGACGACGACGCGCTTGGCCTTGTCGGCAAGCCCATTGGAAACATGGTTGGGGCGGTGGGCGGAAGCCCAAGGAATCATGTTCCCGGAAAGCTGTCTGGGAAATACGTTTTACCGAGGTGTCTTGGGGACCCGCAGGGGGCTTTCCTGGGGGCCCCTTGGGGGCCGATTGGGGCTTCCGGGGGGCCTCTTGGGAGCCTCACGGGGCTTCTTGGGAGCATCTTGATGGCCTCCGGGGGCGTCCTAGGAGCCTATCAGGCCGGAGAGCTTGAAATGTCGCGCTCTTCGGGCCCTCTTGGGTCGCTCTTGGGGCTCTCTTGGGGCGCTCTCGAGGCCCTCTTGAATTATCTGGGGAGCCTCCTGGGCCGTCCCTGAGCTTTCTTGGGAGCCTCTTCGGCTGTCTTAGAGCCATCTTATAAGACCGAACACGGATCCAGCAAATCCGAAATCGGACCCGCGCGGACGGAAATCGGATCCACCGAAACAAAAACAAAAACCACATTTGGATCCGCGCGAACTTCATGGGATAGGACGGCGGTTATCTCATACGCGTCTGCTCTAGACTTCAAGCCGTCGTTCCGGGCCCAAGAGGAAAAAAACCTGTCATATACATAAAAATGCATATATATATATATATATATATATATATACCTGTATAGATATACATATGCACACACGTCCATATACATATACATGTGCATAAACATGTACCTAACCCCAGGAAGCATTTAAGAAACCCCCCGGCGATATCTTAGCACCGCATTGTTATTCGATATTCAGAGGGGCCGAAATAACCGAACGATAGGTTTAGCACCCGGACACACAACAAATTCGCGGAGGCCTGGCCCCTGGGCCACAATCGACTTGGGCCCAGACAGGCCTTGGGCCCCGAGGGAAGGAGGGGGGCGCGGGAGGAGGAGGAGGAGGAGGAGGAGGAGGAGGAGGAGGAGGAGGAGGAGGAGGAGGAGGAGGGGGCAGGAGGAAGTTCGTGGGTGGAGGAGAGGAGGAGGAGGAGGATGAGGAGGAGGAGGAGGAGGAGGGCTCCTGGTGCCAGGTAACGCTTCCAGGGTGCGGAAGGGTTATCGATTTGCCGGAAGGGGGGGGGGGTCTTAAATGCTTCCTGGGGTTATGCCTATACATGTACGTTTTCATATACATACATACAATCGTGCGTGCATGCACATAGACATATATGATCCCGGGCTCCGGGCCCACGGGCCCCCCCCCCCCAGATGGTATGGTCCCAGGATTCCTGGGCCCCCCCCCTCAGATGGTATGGTCCCAGAGACGACCACCACGACGACGACGACGACGACGACGACGACGACGACGACGGCGACGACTACGACGACGGCGACGACGACGACGACGACGCCCACGACGACGACGACGACGGCTGCGGCGGCGACGACGCCGACGGCGGCGGCGGCGACGACGACGATGACGACGATGACGACGGCGACGACGACGATGACGACGACGACGACAACGACGACGGCGAGGACGACGAGGACGACGAGGACGACAGGGACGACGACGACGACGACGACGACGACGACGACGACGACCTCTGAACCACCACAGCACCACAGCACCACACCACATCCACAGGGGGGGGGGGAGGGGGGCACCGCAGCGCAGCACCACGCCACGCCCACCTCTGAACCACCACAGCACCACACCACATCCACAGGGGGGGGAGGGGGGCACCGCAGCGCAGCACCACGCCACGCCCACAGGGGGGGGCGGGGGGGACCATCGCGCGGGGGGGGGGGGGGGGGGGCCCAATGGCATCAGCATTGGAGGGGAGGGGGGGGGGCCAAGCCATGGACCATATATATATATATATGTATATATATGTGTATGCATACAAACATACAAACATACGTACACACATACATAATCGATTGTACATACATATATGTGTATATATATATATACACACACACACACACCTCCTGCGCCTGCCGAGGCCCCGAAGATCGACTCCTCCAGGCGATGGCTGCGGATAAATCCCCGCCTCGGACTCCACGGCCTCTCTTGGCGGCGAGCGAGGGGGGGAAGAGAGACGGAGAAGGCCCTTCTCGGGAGGCGGCGGGACTTCTCGGAAACCCTCGCGCCCTCCGGAAGAAGTCTCCCGCGTCTTCGAGGAGGGCGTCGGAACCTTCTCGGAAGGCCGGGCGACCTCCGAGCCCTCTGGGAAGGCCCGCCCCCTCCTCGCGCCCAGCCCCAGGCGGCGCCAGAGCGGCGCCGGGCGACGCCGGGCGCGCCGCGGGAGGGGCTCGGGCACGGAGCGCCCCCCGAGGGGCCCGCAGGACGGCCCGCAGGGGGGCCCGCAGGGGGGCCCAAGAGAGCCCCCCCGAGGACGCCCCGGAGGCGGCCCTCCAGCGGGCCTCCGAGACGGCCCTTCCGCGCCCCAAAAGGGAGGACCCATAGGACTGCCCAGGAAGGGCCCAGGACGGCCTCCGAGGGCCAGGAGGGCCCCAAGAGGCGCCCCAGAGGGCCCCCAGGGAGGGCCTCACGAGGCCTCCTCTTCTGCCTTCTCCAGATGATCCTGCCTCTCCTCCTCCTTTCTCGTCCTCGCCCCCGCGTTCCTCCAAGAGGCTCCACAACGGCCAGGGGCACACGTAGTCCAATATCATGGCCTGGCTTCGGCCCATCGTTTAGCCGCATGGGCGTTTCCAAAGGGCAGGGGGCGGCGGTGATTCGCCGTAGGCGTCTTCGATAAATTCCACGGTCGTCGCAAGCTCTGACTCCTTCTAGGGGGTCGTAGGAATGGAGTAAGCCACTTGACTAGCTCACACCACAAAGACTGCGCCACGTAGCTTACACCACGTAACTCATACCAGGTATATTGCACCATAGCTTATACCGCAAATCCCAGATATCATAACTCACATCACATAGCTCACACCAAATGGACTGCACTGCATCTGTTGCATCACTTAGTCTGGACTACATAGCTTGCACCAGATGGCACGCCCCACATGGATAGCACAACATAAATCGCACTTCAAAGCTCAAACCCCACAGATCGCACCGGACAGATTTCACCACATGGCTGACACCACATAGATCGCACCACGAATGCGCCACATAGCTAACACCACACAGCGCATCCCACATAGATCACACCTCACAAATCACACTACATAGCTTACACGTCCACCATGCACCAAATCATTGTTTGGGGTCTACGCTGGACACTGATGTTGCTAGACTTCAGCAGTCTAACCGATTCGGTCGCAAGAGCGTGTGAAACGGCCCAAGATGCCTTCAAAAATTGCCAAAGACGGCCCACGAGACCCCAAAGAGGGACCGAAGAGGCCCCCAGAACGGCTCCAACAGGGGCCCAAAAAAGCGCGCCGCCGTCGCCTCGCTGAAGCCAACCTCTCCGACATGATCTCAGGACCCCCCAAGATGCTCCGACGAGGCCCAAAGACGATCCAAGATGCACCCAAGTGGGCCACAGAGGCCCCCGAATCCCCCGCATATAACCCCACAGTACCCCGCAAAATGTCCCCAAAGCATCTGGAGCACGACCCCAGCGCAGTGGCAGGATGTCAAGATGTTACTGTCTCGTGCCTCCATCACCCGTCCGCCTCTTGCGCCCAAGCTGCTGACTTCGCGAGGTCGGCGGAAACGGCCGCATGGCCTTTGAATCGTTTGCCGCTGATTTGGATTTAACTCATCATCACCATCATCACCATCATCATCATCATCATCATCAGCAGCAGCAGCATCATCAGCATCATCATCATAATCATCATCACCACCACCACCATCATCATCATCATCAGCATCAGCATCAGCATCAGCATCAGCATCATCATCATCATCATCATCATCATCATCATCATCATCATCATCATCATCATCATCATTATCATTGTCATTATAATTATCAGTATCATCACCACCACCGCCACCATCATCATCAGCATCATCATCAGCATCAACAACATCATTATCAGCAACACCACCACCATAGCCATCATCATCATCACCACCACCACCACCACCATCATCATCATCATCATCAGTATCATTGTCATTCTCATTATCAGTATCCCCACCACCACCGCCACAATCATCATCAGCATCATCATCAGCATCAACAACATCATTGTCAGCAACACCACCACCATAGCCATCATCATCATCATCATCATCATCATCATCATCATCATCATCATCATCATCATCATCATCATCACCATCACGCCCATCACCCTCACCGTCCTCATCCTACTCTCCCCCCTCCCCTCCACTCCGTCCACCTCTTCGCGTTCCTCGCATTTCTCCCAAACCACTCCTTCTTCCTCCCTCATCCTCCTCCTCCTTCTCATCCTCATCCCCATCATAATCCTCCTCCTCCTCCTCCCCATCCTCCTCCTTCCCATATTTGATCCTCCTCCGTCTTCCACCATTCGTCCGCACTCCTGCTCCATTTAATTGTCCTCCGTTTTCCGTCTTCCGTTTCCCCTCATCTTTCCGCCCTTGTCCTCATCATGCTGCTCTCCCCGCGGACCCCCCCCCACGGCACGCCGTGAGCTGGTTTCACCCGGACCTTGTCGTAATATGCGATCATGTCCTCCTCAGTGTTTATCTCCTCGCCGAAGAGCTTCTTCACGGTGGACTCGGAGGCAGCGCGGGCACTCTCCGCATCCTCCTCATCCTTCTCACCCTGTTTCCTCCTCCCTCCTCCGAAACACTATCCCTCTCCTCCTCCTCCTCCTTCTCCTCCTTCTCCTCCTCCTCCTCCTTCTCCTTCTCCTCCTTCCCCTCCTGCTCCTCCTCCTTCAGCCCACTGTAGCGCACCCACATGGGGCACGTTGTGGCCGAGACCCTGGGCAAAGGGCGAGCGTGGCGTCGCCTAAACGGTGACGGAGGGGCAGGCCGGCGGCCCAGCGGCCGCCATCACAGCTGCAAGGCCTTCGTGCGGGCCTCCCCGCGCCTGAGCCCGAGCCTCCTCCTCGAAGTCCGGCTCAGCCGCAGGCCGCGGCGCCGCGCCGCGCGCGACCGCGATCCGCCCGCCCGCCAGGCGCCAGCATGCCACCGCGGCGGCGCCGGCTCCAGCGAGCCCGCTGGCGGCGCAGGCCAGCGCCACCGACCAGAGGCTCGGCCCTTGGCTGCTCGTGCCCTAGAGGCCCGAGCAATCGCACCGCGGCTGCGGGCAGTGGAGCTGCGGGGAGCAGGAGCACGCCGGGCACTGGGCCTGCCCCTGGTTGGCCGCGTACACCGCCAGCCCCGTGCTCAGCCCGCGGCCCACCTCCGGCAGGAAGGCGCCAGCCGCGGCGGAAAGGGCAGCGAACATCCGGGCAGAAGTCGCTCGAGGCTTGAGCGAGATGGCCACGATGGACCATCAAGTGCGGCAACTTCACCGTGAGACGCAGCAACAACTTGTGGAAATAACCAATTATGAATACGAATGGCACAGTCGACAGCGCTAATCATCACAAGAATGACAGCGACAACAACAACAACTACAACAACAACAACAACAACAACAACAACAACAACAGCAGCAACAGCAACAGCAACAGCAACAACAACAACAACGACGACGACCACAACAACAATAACAGCAACAACAACAGCAACAACAACAACAACTACAACAACAAACAACAACAACAACAACAACAACAACAACAACAACAACAACAACAACAACAACAACAACGACGACGACGACAACAACAACAACAACAACAACAACAACAACAACAACAACAACAACAACAACAACAACAACAACAACAACGACGACAACGACAACGACAACAACAACAACAACCACAACTACAACACCCAACCCACCACCAACAACAACAACAAAAAGAACCACAACCACAACAACAACTACAACAACAGCAGCAGCATCAGCAATAACAACGACAACCATAACAACAACGACAACAGCAGCAGCAGCAGAAGCAGCAACAGCAACAGCAATAATAACAACAATAACAACAACAGCAACAACAACCACAACGACGACGACGAGGACGATTATGACGATAACAACCATAACAACGACAACAACAACAATAACAACAATAACAACAACACAACAACAAGAATAACAACAACAACAACAACAACAACAACAACAACAACAACAACAACAACAACAACAACAACAATAATAACAACAACACCAACAGTAACAGTAACAACAGCAGCAACAGCAACATCAACAGCATCAGCATCAGCATCAGCATCAGCATCATTATCAGCATCACAATCATCATTGTCATCATCGTCATCGTCATCACCATAATCAACCGCAGCGTCATCACCATCACAATCGTCAGCATCATCATCAACAACAGCATCATCACCACCATAATACCATCATCATCGCCACACTTTCTACCACTACCACTAACATCACCATCACCAACATCATCATCATCATCATCATAATCATCATCATCATCATCATCATCATCATCATCATCATCACCATCACCATCACCAACATCATCAGAATCACCATCACCATCACCACCGTCATCGTCGTCGTCATCATCGTCATCATCATTATCATCAGAATCAACAGAATCATCATCATCAACATCAGCAGCAGCAGCAACAGTGGCTCGGGGTCTATTGCAGTCGCTGTGCCGCCGCCCTCGCTCTGGCGTTCCCGGCGGCGCGGGCGTCACCGGCCGCCGCTCGACGAGGGCGGGCCCGCTGCGTCACGGGCCGCCTCGCGGCAACTGCAGATGGCGTCCGCCTGGATGACATGCTGTGCAGCTGCGGTGCCATGGTCTACTCGTCGTGGCACATGCGGGCGAGGCACGAGTATGTGGAGGCGGCAACCGGCGGCACGAAGGTGGGCACGTCCCGCCCGCCCAGCGTTCCCCGTCGGGGCCAGCGGGAGACGGCGGAGCAGTCTGCGGGCCTCACCTTCGCCGCAAAGACGGCCGAGGCAAACCTGGTCAGGCTCGGCGTGGAGCAGGAGGCCGCGAGGAGCCCAGCTGCCGTGCGGCAGCTCTTGTTCTGGCTCGCGGAGCTGGTCGCGCAGACGCTCTTCTAGGGGGCCGCATGCGAACCCTACCCCCACCCCCCACGATTTCTGAGGGGGTGGGCGTTCACTTCGCTCGGGAGCTCCCGAGCGAAGTGAACCCCGCCCTCCCCCTCAGAAATCGTGGGGGGTAGGTTGGCGGCGCGCAGAAGGGGGTGGGGGGAGGGGGGAGGGCTTCTTAGAAGCAGGCTGCTTCTGAGAAGGCGCCGGCCTTGCATCTATAGATAAGGCCCGCGCCCTCTAAGAAGCAGGGGTGCTTCTAAGAAGCCTTCCCCCCTCCCCCTGCCCCCCTCTGCGCGTGGCCGAGTAGGGGTGGGGTTCGCACGTGGCCCCCTGCCTTCAGGATGCCCCTCGTGGCCGCGGCGGCGGCGAAGACGGAGGCCGTGCGGAGCCTCGCCCTCTCGAAGCAGCTCTCGCCAAGGGGCTCTCGCGGAGCCGATCGCGCTGCCGTCGTCCGGGGCGCCCGTCGTGGTCGCGAGGACGGCGTGCCCGGGAGCCGCGTGGAGCCGCGCCCTCGCGGCGCAGATTGGCATCTGGCTCGCGGAGCTGGTCGGCGGCGACGATAGGGCGAAGAGCCCAGGGGCGGGCGTTGCACGCATTCGCCCAGGAGCCTCTTCGAAGACACAGATTATCGGCGCACCCGAATACATGTGTTGCTCTCCCCTGGGCTGTCCGCCCCTATCGTCGTCCCTGAGCTGGTCGCGCAGCTGCTCTTCATGATGCCCTTCACGGTGACGGAGGCGGTGAAGCTGGAGACCGCGCGGAGCCCCGCCCTCGCGAAGCGGATTGACATCTGGCTCGCGGAGCTGGCCGCGCAGCTGCCCTTTTCAGGATATCCTCTTCGGTCGCGAGCGCGGCGAAGCTGGAGGCCGTGTGGAGCCTCACCCTCGCGAAACAGCTCGTGCTCGGACTCGCGGAGCTGGTCGTGCAGCTGCTGTTCGGGCTGCCTCCCCTGGTGTGGCCGTGGGCGCGGCCTTGTAGCCGTGGGCGATGGGCACGCACCCCGAGGGCGCGCGGCGCGCCGACGTCTCACGCGCGGGTACAGACTGGCTGCTCCGTGGAGGGGAGCAAGGGCGGCTTCGACGGAGGTGCAGAGGTGCAGAGGACCTGGCAGCGGGCGAACCGATCGTCGCCGCACAGGGCGACCTTGCGCGGCCCGACGCGGCCCGACGCAGCTGGCAGCGTGATTCGGCGGCACTGGATCCTCCAACCCGCGATCATGGACGCACGATCGCGCGGAGGATTTCAAGACACGCGTCGAGGACTACGGCAGAACGAATTGTGTCGACGTGAAGGGCTCGCCAAATGCGTTGTGCCCACGAATCGACGACGCGGAAGGTTCGACTCGGAGGCGACGCTTGGACCGAGTCGACCCGCGCTTCCTGTGCTGCACCGCCTCGTTGCCCTAGGGCCACTCGTGCCTGGATGGGCGCGGCGCGGAAACCTTGGCGGCGCATCTATCTTTGAGCCCACGGGTGACTTGGCCGCGCCGCGTGGGCCTCTGGGAGGCCTGGGGGCCTCGGTCGGTTTCGCGTGGCGGGCCATGACTCGTCGGCCGGAAGAAGTGGGTAAAAACATGAAGTGGTAAAACGGGTAAAGCAGCTCGGGCTCAGGCCCTCCCAGAGAATGACAGACCACAGCAGAAGCAGATCGATTCTTGAAGTAGGAAGGCGCTTGAATTAGATTGAAATCCGGGAATCAAAAAATACCTGCGCTCAACGACCGACGGGTATTGGGTTCGCCCTCTTTGTCGGCTCGGTTTGGCTTGGAAGACTTGACGGGGCGGGCCTGGTCCTCGCAGGTGGCCCTGGCGCGCTGTGCCTGGCCCTTGGGGGGGAGCGTCGCCTCCCCGGGCGCGCGTATGACGTAATGCAAGGTGAGATTGGCCGAACCATACCTCCATCCCTTGTCAAGTGGTACCCGGCCGTCCTCCTCCTCCTCCTCCTCCTCATCATCATCATCATCAGCAGCAGCAGCAGCATCAGCATCATCATCATCATCATCATCATCATCATCATCATCACCATCATCAGTAGCAGCAGCATCATCGTCATCATCATCACCCTCAGCATCATCATCAGCATCATCATAATAATCATCATCAACACCATCAGCAGCATCATCGCCACTATCACCAATAATCATAACCATCAGCAGCAGCGGCAGACGCAGCAGCATCATTATCACCATCAGCATCAGCATCATCATCATCATCAGCATCATCATCATCGTCGTCGTCATCATCCTCATCATCATCACCATAATTTATCATTGGGTCGGACATGTCCTCCTACAGGCGGATGTTGTAAGAAAGCTCGAATACTAGTCAAAAATATTCGACAACACTCGAAATAATCAAAAATACTCCATAAAAGATTCCCCTGGCTATGCTTTACTATGTTCGGATTATCCTCCTGTAGAGGGACATGCCCGACTTAAGTATATCATACATCATCATCATCATCATCATCATCACCACCACCACCATCATCATCATCATCATCATCATCACCATCATCACCATCAACAACAACCACAACAACATCATCAACAACAACCCCATCACCGTCACCATCACCATGATCATCGCCATCATCATCACAAACCGCATCATCATCATCATCATCATAATCATCATCATCATCATCGTCATCACCATCATCATCACCATCATCCTCATCATCATCATCATCATCACCATCATCCTCATCGTCATCATCACCATACTCATTACCCTCCTCCTACTCGACATCATCATCCTCTTCCTCCTCATCATCCTCGTCATCATCAACAGCAGCATCATACGCTCTCCTCCTCCGCTCTCCTCCACTCCTCCACCACGTTCCTGCACCTCCTCCCTCTGCAGGTCGAAGGTCGGAGACGAGGACAGGGGCGAATAGCCCAGGGGCAGGCATGGCACGTGTTCGCCCGGGAGCCTCGACGAAGGCATGGACGATCGGCGCCCCTGGATACATGTACTGCTCCCCCCCTTGGGCTATACGCCCCCACCGTCGCATCCGAGAAGGAGGGCGGCCGCACGGGCGAGGCAGGCCTGCACTGGCGGGATCGGCACCAGCTGCTTGTTGCCGTCCTTGTCTGGCACGAGCCCGCGCACGCGGTGGTCGAAAGGGATCCACTGACGCGGGGGGGCCCAGCGAGCGGAGGTCCCCGTCCTCCTCTCCGTCCTCCTCCTCCTCCTCCTCCTCCTCCTCCTCCTCCTCCTCCTCCTCCTCCTCCTCCTCCTCCTCCTCCTCCGCGAAGCAGGAGGAGGAAGGACTTCAAAACAGGGAAACATCCGCCAGCCCCTTTGTGGGGCCATCAGGCTGCGGGGATTAGGTTTGCTGCTCCCTGCTCCGGTTCCAGTTTCAAGTCTCCCATGTTATAGTCCTACTTTTTCCTTGCCTACTTTCTAGTTGCAATTGAAAATTGTTACTGTCTGCGCTAAGGGGGGAGCCCCAAACCAGCATTTTACGACGCCACCCAGGGGGTCCCAGAATTCCCTGGGGGTCCGTGGGACACGTAAAAATATATCAGATTCGCGCCCTCGAGGCTACGATCCCTTCAAAAATTACGCAGTATTCACATCCCCGACGCCACGACCCCTCGTAAAGTATGCAATGTTCGCGTCTCCGAGGCCACGATCACTTTTGCAAATTATGCTAATACGAGCCCCCGAAGCCACGATCCCGTGTGAATTACTCAATATTCGCGTCTCCGGAACCACGATCCCTCCTGAATGACTATAAACTCGCACCCCCGAGGCCACACTCACTCGCGAATTACGCGATGTTCGTATCCCCGAGGCCACGATCCCTCGTAAATTACACCGTACTCGCGCCACCGAAGCCGCGATCCTTCGAAATCACACCTTACTAGCGTCCCCGAGGCCACTATCCCTCATAAATTACTCGCGTCCCCGAAGCCACGATCCCCGTTCCTCCTCCTCCTCCTCTTCCTCCCCCTCATCCTGGCAAAAATACGCACAACAGGATTCCATGACATGCTACTCAGGCTGGCCGTACCAACCTCAACATCGTCGGCTTCGCCCGTCCTTTCCGTACTAATCGTCGTCGTCGGATGCGCTGCCGCTCACCTCCGCTTCCACCTCCTCGTCGTCATCGCCGGATCCATCATCAGCATCGTCCTCCTACTCCTCCTCCTCCTCCTCCTCCTCCTCCTCCTCCTCCTCCTCCTCCTCCTCCTCCTCCTCCTCCTCCTCCTCCTCCTGATCGGCGCAAGAGTCTGTCCCCGCGCACTGTCCACTGGACTGCGGCTGCCTCGAGACGAAGACGTTGGGCGCCATGCCGACCAAACAGGGAGCTTCAACCCCAGCAGGCGGCGCCCGCGCTCCGGCGCCAGCTCAGCCCGCCGCCGACGCCGCCTCCTTCTCCTCCTCCTCCTCCACCGCCTGGCCTCGGAGAACTGCGTCACGTAGTCCCACACGCGCTCGTACTTCGTGTGGAAGAGGTGCGCACCATACTTGCTCGCACGGATCCCGTCCTCGCCGACGCGGGAGCGGGAGGCCGCGATGTGGCGGCGGGGCTGGGCGAGGCTACCCACAACAATTCGAGTGAGTGGAGAAACAAATCGGCAGCCACATGTGAACCCTACCCCCTCCGCCTCCTCCCGTCCTTCGCGGCCGCCTTGGTCTGTCTAGTTCCTCCCTCCTGCACGCTGGCCAAGTAGCGTATCGGTTGCCCCGATCGCCCGCCCGCTGGAGCAGCACGTCTGCCTCGCCGCCGAGGGAAAACACAGTGAACCCTGCCCCCGCAGGTCAGACTTTTGAAGAATCGGCTGGGGGTCAGTTAACGGGCGAAGAACGGTATGAAATAAACTTTTTCGCCGTCGGGGGCGCCTGTCCCTGGGCGGCTGGAAAGTTTATTCCCTTACGGTGGCACCGTAGGGGTATAAACTTTCCAGCCGCCCAGGGACAGGCACCCCCGACAGCGAAAAAGCTTATCTTATACCGTTCTTCTCTCGCTGGGTCAGAGTTTGTGAGATGCCGGCGGCAGCCCGGTGAACCCCAGCAGCTTCGATTGGAGCCGCAAGGACGGGGCTCGGAAGCGGTCGCAGAACCCTTGCGCGCGGTGCCGGCCGGCCGCGGGCGCGCAGGCGCCACAGGGCGGGCAGGCTGGCCTGGCCGTCAACAACGACGACGACGACGACGACGACGACAAGACCCCGACCACGAAGGTGACGACGACGACGACGACGACGACGACGACGACGACGACGACAAGACCCCGACCACGAAGGCGACGACGACGACCACGACGACGACGACAAGACCCCGACCACGAAGGCGACGACGACGACGACGACGACGACCACGACGACGACGACGACCATGACGACGACGACGACGACGACGACGACGACGACGACGACGACGACGCCGACAACGACGACGACGAGGGCGACGGCGAGAGAGAGACAGGTCGGATGGCGCCAACCATACAACTGCACCGATCCTGGCCAGGCCCATCCTGGGCCCAGGACCCGTGTATACGCCCTCCTGGCTCGGCCAGGAGGGCACGTGCACCGACCATGATGTGCCTGATCAGGATCGCTGCAGGCGTATAGCTGGCGCCCTCCGAGGGGGGATGGAAGGAGGCATGAGCAGTCGGAGGCGGGAAGAGAAGGGCGGAAGAGGCCGAGGAAATCAACGACGGGCAGAAGGGAGGGGTGAGGATGGAAGGCAGAAGGGAGGGTGGAGGATGGAGGATGGAAGAGTGAGGAGGAATGAGGAAGAAGGATAGAGAAGGGAGGAGGGAGAAGGAAAGAGAAGTGGGCGATGGAGGAGAGAGGGGGGGGGCAGGAGGAAAGAAAAGGGAGGAGGAAGGAAGACGGAGAAACAGGGGGAGGAGGGAGGAGGAAGGAGAGAAGGAGGGAACAGCGGAAGCAGGAACAGAAGCGGGAGGAAGGTGAAAGACGAGGCCGCAAGTGCCGCCGTCCTCCTCCTCCTCCCTTATCTTCCTCCTCCTCCCCCTTCTCCTCCTTCTCCTTGCCCTAGACACCCACGTCATCATCCATGCTTTCCTGCTCAATCACATCATCCTCTTCCTGATCGCGTTCCTTCTCCTGTCCATGTTTACGTTACTCTCCCCCACCTCCTCCTCCCCCTCTTCCTCTCATCCACACCATATTTCTGGATTTCCCCAATCAACCCTGAATGCCCAAACAGATTATTCACTCGGCGGGCATGTCCGAGGTCACGTAGTCGTAACAATTCCCGCCTGCCGCGATATGAACGGGAGGGTGGCAGTGCGAAGGATGCAAACAGGCACGGGTGGAAGGGTAGGAAAAAAACAGAAAGGGAGAGAGAGGGAGAGAGAGAGAGAGAGAGAGAAAGATTCAGAGATTCGAAGAGAGAGAGAGAGAGAGAGGGACAGAAAGAGAGAGAGGGTGAGAGAAAGAGAGAGAAATTGAGGGAAAAATAGAGAAAGAGAGGGATGAAGGGGAGGCGAGGTGACGGAAAAGGGAACGGGACGTGAGGGGAGGGCGACAACGGGGGGGGAGGAGATGCCGAGCGAAAGCGAGGAGGGCAGTGGAGGGGGAGGAGAGGAGGCGGCGGGGAAGGGGCAGAGGGAGCCTCCTTCCAGGAAGCCTCCAAGACTCCTCAGGACGGCCTGGGACTCCTTGAGGTTCGCTGGATCCCCCTGGGGGGGTCCCTACGGACTCCTGGGACCCCCCCTCGGCGCGTGGTCGACTGCCCTCCCCCCCCGTGCAGCTGCCGCAGGCGAGCTCCAGCCGCCAGAGCTCCTGGAGGCGCCCAGGGGGGGGCGCGGGGGGGGGGGGGGCGAGAGGAGGGCGGCCTCCCCAAAGGAGAAGGCCCCCGGAGGCTTCCGGGCAGGGAGTCGGCCCGAGCGGGGCTCGTCGTCCTCGTCTCGGTTCCGCCGTCTCCCTCGGCCGTGCCCTCGCTGCCCGCCCCGGCTGCCGAGCGGAGAGCGAGGCGGAAACGGCCCACGAGGTCGCCAGGGCGCCGCGCGGGTCCGCCCCTGCTGCTCGGAGGGCGTCGCCGGGCGGGCCTCCACGGGGCCCCCCTGCCTCCTCGGAAGCTCTGCCGCCTGCTCAGAAGCCCGCCAAGCCCTCGCGCCGACCCCCTCATGGGCGCCGCCACACAGCCACGCCGGCACCGATACCTTTTCGCAGTCCTGCCCCGCGGTCCACCAAGCGCAATGATTCCCGAGGCGCTTGACCACGTCGCTGTCCTGGCCTTCCCGTTGCCCTCCCCATGTTCCATGGGCCGGTCTCCCGTCGTGCAACGGGGGGCCGTCGGTAGGCATTTCGGTTTGCAAGCGGGCATGCTCACATCAATTTCCTGTTTTCAGTTGAAACCAACTCATCGGCCCAGTCGCGCTTGGTGTGCAAGTTGACTACGTGCGAAAATGTTCGGTGATGTCGGCTCAGCTGCATGTCATCGTCGGCGTCGCCCTTGTTGTCGTTGTCGCGTTGTCGTCGGAGCTGCAGCCCTGCGCTGCGTCTTCCACTTCGCCGTTGCACACATGATGAGGGCCATTTGCATCAAGATAATACGGGTATTCGGTTTCAGCTGGCGACACCGGTGACCTTCCCCCTAGCGGCGGGGGACGGCGTCGACACTTCGGCAAGTAAGCTCGCACTAGAGCTGGAGCCCCAGCTCTGCACAGGACAAGCGATGGCATTGATGGGCAAAAAAACAGATGTGCTCCCAGAGACCAGCTGTCAGTAAAAGTAGGAAGAAAAAGAGAGAGACAAACAAGGAAACATGAAGAACAACAACAGCAACATTAACAACGACAATAACAACACATAATACAACAATGCAACAACAACAACAACAACAACAACAACAACAACAACAACAACAACAACAACAACAACAACAACAACAACGACGACGACGACGACGACGACGACGACGACGACGACAACGACAACGACAACAACAACAACAACAACAACAACAACAACAACAACAACAACAACAACAATTACAACAACACTTACAACAACAACAACAACAACAACAACAATCATTTTACCCGAACGCTCAGTGTTCTCACCAGTGCCAGGGTTTTCATGCGACGCGAGACAATACCCCCACTTCGTGGGGGGGCAGTTCAAGCTCTACCAAATATCCAAACGACTCTTCGCGACCACCCAAACCCAGCTTCCCGCCCTATGACGTTGGGACACTTCACTTCGTGGCGTGCGGACGACCGTGGCTACTACACTGGCGTGGGGTACACACCCACAGAACTTGGTCACTTATTCGGGGCGCGCGTGTGCCCAGCATCCTGCAATTGTGACATACAATACATGACACAGACAGACAGAGAGAGAGACAGAGAGCAGACAGAGAGAGAGACAGAGAGAGCGGAGTTCTGGCCCCTGGCAGGCGCGCGAACCCCGTTGCAAGAGCGTGCGAAAGTAGCTCGCGCGAGCTCATGTAACATAAATGTTGGAAAACCATTGGTTTTTTTAGGATTCGGACAGCGCGCGCGGGTGGAAATTTTGAAAAGTCGTGCAGGTGTTTTTCGAGGACCTACGGTGCGATTCGTGTGATTTTATGATGCGCGGTGCTAAAATTCTTAAGAAGCCCAATGGTTTTTGGAGATTTCGGCGTGCGCGCGCGAAGAAAAAACGAATGTGTCCCGCATGGTATTATTTGACAGGGATGATGGCCCTGGCAGGTGCGCAACCGTTGTCGCAGAAGTTCGAAAAAGTTGCTCGCAAAAGCCCGTTTGACAGAAATGTTTAAAAAGTGTTGGTTTTCCTACGAATCCGCAAGAGCGCGCGGGATGAGATTTTGACAATTTTTTTTAAAAAACCATTGGGTTTTTGATGTTTTTATGTTAAAATCGCTTCCGAAACTAAGGTTTTGGAAGGATTTCGTCTTGCGCGCGCGAATGTCCACTTTACCTTATTTTTTGCAAGGGATTCTTGAAATTTGAACAAGAACATTTCATTTTATAGTGTTTTTTGCAAGGGAAAACGGATACAACAAAACAACCGGATCCGGTACTAATCCACTTTTCTGAAGCTTTCGCGAAAAAATGATGAAAATGTAGCTGCGGCCTAGGTTTTGGAGGGGGGTCGTGCACCAGGGGTCCCAACAATAATTATTCTTTAGAAGTAATAATGTTCAACAGCAGCAGCAGCAGCAGCACACAACAACAACAACAACAACAACAACAGCACAACAACAACAACAACAACAACAACAAACAACAACAACAACAACCAACCACAACAAAACCACAACAAGCAGCACAAGCAGCACAGCAACAACAACAACAACAACAACAACAACAACAACAACAACAACAACAACAACAACAACAACAACAACAACAACAACAACAACAACAACAACAATGTGAACCAGAGTGTGCACGGCAGGCCGATAGTCAAACCAAAAAGTCTGCCGAGCGCGTAAGGTGCGTAGGAGCCAGGTCTCGACGCGGCGCGGTCCGGGCCGCAAGCGGCGGCGGGCTCTGGCGCAGCCGGCCGTCGAC